GTCAGCCTTTCTGCTCCTATGATGCTGCTTGGCCTGCTGTGTTCATCCAGCTCTGCACCTTGTTGTCTCTGTTGAGGAGGATCTACACAGGTTTAATGAATGGGCAAGAGAAAGACAGATGGAATATAATCTGGAAAAATGTGAGATTGTCTACTTTGGTAGGAGGAATAAATGTGCAGGGTATTTCTTAAATTAAGTTGGAAAATATAGATGCACGAATGGAGGTCAGTGCATAGTCCTGAAGGCTAACTTGCAGATGCAGCAGCTATTAGGAAGGCTAACGGAACATTAGCCTTTATTACAAGAAGGTTTGAGTACAGGAGGAGTGAAGTCTTTCTTCAACTGTATAGGAACTTCAAATACTGTGTTAAATTCTGGTCTCAGTAAAGAGATTATTGCCATAGAAGGAGTGCAACAAAGGTTCCCCAATCTTGTTCTCTGGATGATAGGATGGTCTTATGAAGAGAGTTCGGGCAAACGGGGCCAGTATTCTCTTTTTAGAAGAGTGAGAGGTGATCTCATTGAAATCTAAAAAAAGATTTAAAGGTGTAGATGTAAGTAAGATGTTTCCCCTGATTGGGGAATCTAGAACCAATAGGAACAATTTTATTGTAAATTCTGTAATTTACAGTGAAAATTTATTTGGAATGTAGTTTTGTAACATTTTAATTATTAAAGTATTTCTAAAAAAAGTTGCATGCTCATTGTGTGTGAAGACTACCACTTCCATTGCTTGTATTACGTGGATGTTGTAAGTTTGGTCTATCAGTGTCTTTCAGGATGTTCCAAAGCATTTTCCAACTAATTAAGAATGTGAACTGCCACAATTGTGAGGCTTCTAGTTAAATTCTTCCTTAATTAACCAGTCAACTGCAGTAAACACTTCAGCAAAAGTCCATTCCCTTCTTAACATTTCGTAACAACAATTAATCTAAACAGGCAGAACAATGAAAAGACAATTGTACAGCTTTTACTGACAGAACTGCATTGCTGAGCAATTATGAAATGTTTCTTAGGAGGTGCTGTTACTAGTTCTGCTGATGTCAATTTGGAAGCTCACGACCACTTGCAATTCGAAAGACAGGGGCAGCAGATACATGGGAACACCACCTCCTCCAAGTTCCTCTCCAAGCCACTCACCATCCTGACTTGGAAATGTTTTGCTATTTCTTCAGTGTCACAGAGTTAATATCCTAGAATCCCCTTTCTAACAGCACTGTAGGTGTCACTTACACCTCATGGGCTGCAGCAGTTCACCATCACATTCTCCAAGGCAATTAGGAATGGATAATAAATGCTGGCCTTGCCAATGACACTCATGTCGTGTGAATTAATTTTTTTTTTAAAAATTACAATTCCTCTAGGCCCATTTTATGTCTCTTATTCTTTCGAAAAACAATAATTGCTTTGATGTGGTACCTTTAGCATAGTACCATCCTTTACAGGGAAGCATTTTCAAACAACATTCGACAACAAGTCACACAAGGAGATCGAAGAGTAGGTTTTGTGCAGCATCATAAAGGAAGTGAGAGAGGCATAGAGAGCAATCTTGTGGTTATGTCCTCCCCATTTAGCCTTGTGTTATCATTCCTTTTGTGATTTAATCTGTTCAACCTTACACCTAAACACAGTTCTCACCAGTCGAACAGTCAGATTATCGACGTTTTAATTGCTTCAATGCCAAAATCTTAATTTTCTTAACACCCAAAAACCGGTAATCTTCTGTCTTGAATGTACTCGAGGGCTGAGCATCCACTGTTCTCTGAGATAGAGAATTCCAAAGTTCCACAACTCCAAATAAAGAAGTTGCTCATTTCAGTCCAAAATGGCCAACAGCTTATTCTGACACAGTGACACTATGTTACACATTCCCCAGTCCAAGGAAAACATTTTATTCAGCATCTCACCTGTTAAACCCCTTAAGAACACTGGCCTGGATAAATTGCATCCCAGGTTGATATGGGAGGCAAGGCAGGAAATTGCAGGGACTCAACACAAACTTTTAATTCCACTCAGGCCACAGGGAAGTGCCAGCTAATGTGGTTCCAATTTTTAGGAAGGGTAGTAGAGACGAACCAGGAAATTACAGACCAGTGAGTCTCATGTCAGTGGTAGGGAAACTATTGGAGAAAATTCTGAAGGAATGACATAGTTTTATGGTAAGGGATTCAGAGGGGATTTGGGAAAAAATTTTTTCACTCAGCAGGTGGTGGGAATCTGGAGTGCAGTGCCTGGTAAGGTAATGCAATCTTCAAACCTTACAACCTTTAAAAAATATTTGGATGAGTACTTCAAATATCATAGCAGTCAAGGAATGGGTCAAGTGCAGGAAATTGGGATTAGCACACCTTTAGTGGTAGCTATGTCATTGCAGACTCGATGGGTCAAAGTGCCTTTTCTGCGCTGTTTGAATATATGAATTATACGTCTCACTGAGAACACCTCTCCTTCTTCTAAACTCCAGGGAATATAAGCCTAGTCAACTCCATGACTCCTTATAGAACAATCCCAGGTCATTGGGTGAATGATAGCAATTGTTTACCTTGTGAAGTACATCAAACACTGAGAGCTGACAGATGTCTGACAAGAGAGCGCTAGCTAATGATTTGGAAATACGGTAACTGTCTGCTTGTCTCCACTTTATGTTAAACAAGCATTTAGATTGTGAGAACATTTGACCTTTGAGCACCATGACTACTTGCTGTGGAGATGATAAATGGCTTCTTTAACATCCGATTACAGAATAGTATTCAAATACCTAGCTGCCAAAACTGATTCTCAACTCAGTTGTATTGGATGTGACAATACAGACTACTCCCTCCCTTAAGTGTTGATATTAAATGAATGTGGATTACACTATAACGGAGTCAATACATTCCTTAAAGAGTGTTGTGGCAATATGTAAACCAATACATCAACCAAGCATTGCTAAATTGGATTAATTACCTTGGAGAATTTCCTATCTGTTCCTCTTGATAATTTGCATTTTGTACTTGTAAGACGAAAGCCAATCAAACTGGACCTGAGCTTAAGCTAAAGTGGCAGCTTCAGAAGATTCTGTTAAAATGTAACTTTTATTTAGTTTAAAAACAATCCACAAATTGATTTATACAACACAGCTGTTTCTTTGACAATGTTTGTTTGAAATGGGTTACCCATGTGGAATTTAAGACTTTGATTCTTTGTTTCTATTTCTTCAATAAACTCAACGAAACAAAGAGCAACATTAAACTGAATTATAATATTATGTCTAATATCCACAACACATTGCAGGCATCACCATGTAAACTGAAAGATCCATGACTCACTCCAGGACTGAAGTACATTTTCATAAACAGAAGCAGGCCATTTGGCCCAACGTGTCTTGTCTTTGCTGTACACAAACCTCGTGCCACATTACTTTTTTTTATATTCATTCACAGAATGTGGGAATTACTGGCTGGGCCAGCATTGTGGCTTATCCCGAATTGCCTAGAGGGCAATTAAGAATCTGCCACATCACTGTGGGTCTGGAGCCACGTAGGCCAAACCAGGTAAGGATGGCAGATTTCCTTCTGTCAAGGGGATGAGCAAACCAGATGGGTTTCCAGTCCCCAACCCCTCCAACAATCAGCAACAGTTTCATGGTCATCATTAATCTCTTAATTCCAGACTTTTAAACTAAAAATCTTGCTTTGGTCTACGGGCCTACAGAACAACACCATGGTCTCCGGATTAATGATAACACTAGGCCATCACCTCCCTCATGTAATCCTAACTTCATCCAACCCTGCAAATGTATTATTCTATTCCTCATGTATGTATCCAGCTTTCTCTCAAGTACACCAAACCTATTCACCTTGAACTCTCCCTGAGGTGGTGACGTTCACATTCTAACATTCTCTGGCTAAAGATGTTTCTCCATTATTTCCTGTTGGATTCATTAGTTTCTACCTTGTTCTTAAATGTCTCTAGTTCAAGATTCTTACTGCAAACATCAGGGGAAATTTTCCCAGCTTGTGTGTGTGTGTGTGTGTGTGTGTGTGTGTAGAGGGAGGGAGGTGATGGGGGCATATTTGTAGGCCGAGGGTACTGAAAAAGTCATTAAGAAGCGCATTGGGCTGGCTCTCTGACATTTTCCCACCTCTAGCCATTATTCCCAGGGAGACAATTAGAGCCATAATAGCACCAATTAGCTGGCATTTTCCTTGGGAACTGGCAGCTTGCCAGAGGCACATGGAAACCCCTGCAGTATGTGCAGCTGATCTCCTCACAGGAGGTGAGAGTACAGCAGGAGAGCGGAGGTGGGGGGGCGGGGTGGTGGTATTGCCTGATCACCATGAAATGAATGTGCAGAACAATCATTAAATGAACATCTCGGTTTCTATCAGCATGTCCGCAGGCAAATGCTTTCATTTTGAGGTGTATGCCTTGTAGATGGATCTACTTACTACCCCTGGCTGTTAGGATTTTTCACCGTTATTATTGTTTAGCTGTCTTGTAGTCCCTCCCTCCCTCCCCATTCACCCAATCAATGCCTGGCTTTGTTCATGGGGCTCCTCAGCTAAAATGCTTGGCTCTCACATGTTTGGTGCCTGCTCCTTGGCAGAGCAGTGGCAGAGAAGGAAAGACTATAAGACGCTGAAGCAGGAGCAGGAGCAAGAGCAAGAGCAAGAGCAGCCTATTCAACCCATTGAGTCTGCTTTGCCATTCAATGAAATCATGGCTGATCTGATAATCCTCAGCTCCACTTTCCTGCTTTTTCCCCACAACCCTTGATTCCTTTACTGATTTAAAAATCTCAACATTGAGTATAGTTAAAAACCCAGCCTCAACAGCCCTCTGTGGCAATTAATTCCACCAATTCACTGCATTCTGGGAGAAGAAATTCCTCCTCATTTCTGTCTTAAATATGCAACCCCCTATTTTCAGATTGTGCAGGTTGATACTAGACTCTCCCAAAAGGAGAAAACAATCTTTTTGCACCTACTCTGTCAAGTTCCCTAAGAAACTTATATTGTTCAATAAAGGCGCCTCTCATTCTTCTAAATTCCAATGGGTACAAGCCCAATCTACTGAAGGTTTCCTCATAAGGGAATCCCTCCATACCCAGTACCAATCTAGTGAACTTTCTCTGGACTGCCTCCAATGCCGGGATATATTTTCTTGGATAAGGGGCCCAAAATTTGTCACAGTATTCCAGCTGCTTCCTTCTGACTGGTGCCCAAATCCTACACACCCGATCCCATGGTCGGCTGTTGCTTATTTCAATGACAATGTCTACTCGGAGTTTGTGAGTTATTGCCATGTCTTCATGAGGTCAATTCCCAACCCACTGAAAGTCCCATGAGGTAATGCGATCCTGAGAATGTTCCAAAGATGGATCTGGATCTGACTAACTCGTGGGACATCCTTCCCCATTAATCCAAGACTTTTCAGATTCAAGATTTCACTAAAAATAGTGAAACTGTGGAATCCTCTACCACAAAAAGCTGGGAAGGCCAATGTAGCAATTGGAATGAGGTCAGCCAGGTGGACCTTATCGAATATGAGTTCCCTGATTGGGGCTGTTAATCTGGTCCAATCAGGGAGCCCTGGCTGACAGATATGAACAGAAGTGTCAGAGGTTCTGTTCATCCTGAGAACTGGCTCTGAGGGAGCTGGATCAGTGTCAAGGACTCTCCTCGTGTAAACAAAAGGTGTCTTGGGTGATGGGTTACTGGCCTCTGTAGAGCTATTTCAGAAAGGGCCACGAGACTTACTGTATCATCTGTAGGAGGACATTCAAATTTTGAATTGAGCAGAAAGAAAAAAAAAATCCTTCTAAGCTTTGTAGAAAGAAAGTGCATGTTAAGTAGAAGTTGGAAACTGTTTACATCTTGGGAACTCATTGCATTTCCTTTTTGGCAAAAAAAAGAGACCCGATAATGCTTCTTGTTGTTTCTATAATTGACGAGCTGTTCACAAAATCATGTTCTCACACTTCATGCAATTCAAAGCTGCTCATCCTGTGGATTCATTAGTGAAATGTTAATGATGGAGCTGGTGGGGGGGCGGGGGAGTGGGGAGGAAGATGATGTTGTTGGGAAAACCTCCTGTAGTTCCTTTTTAAAAAAGTCAGATTGTTGCTGCTATCTCCTAATTTTTTGAATACAAAGCAGCCACTATACCAGCAAAAATCACCCTCTCGCAGAGATAACAAACCAAGCTCAATTTATGAGAGGAAAGAGGTGTATTATGCAGAGTTGACAGGGGATTTTCCTGCAATGTAAGATGTGGTAGAGAACAGTCGTCTTAATAATAAAGTGATACCATAATTCTTGCATTGTGATCCAATATACCTTCAGGGCTTAAGTCATAAAATCAGTCATTTATCCCGTATCACATGGTATCACTTGTATCCTCAAAAAGGTGCTTTAAAATCTTTCAGATCAAATAAACATTCTGCTGTAACTGAAACTGAGAGGACTAAATGAGGGGCACTATTGTGTCCCTGCTCTGACGTAAACAAAAGAGTTCTTTTTTAGACTTGACAAATATAAAAGGGCTAATTTCACAAATACACACCCTGGTACAAATGTCTTCAGCAGCAATGCAGACCATAAAGTGAAGCAGTCCATGTCCAAATGCAATGTGATCTGGTGAATATCCAAGCTTGGACTGAAAAATGGCAAGTAAAATTCAGGCCACATAATTGCCAGGCAATGACAATCTCCTCTAAGAGAGAATCTAACCACCATCATTTGACATTCAATGGCATTATCATCACTGAATCCTATAGTCAATAATTTGACAGTTACCATTGACCAGAAACTGAACTGGACAAGCCACATATATAGAATGGCTACAAGAGCAGGTCAGAGACTAGGAATCCTACAGTGAGTAACTTACCTCCTGACTCCCCAAGCCTGTCCACCATCTACAAGATACAAGTCAGAAATGTGATGGAATACTCCCCACTTGTGCGGATGGGTACAGCTCCAACAGCACTCAAGAAGCTTGACACCATTCAGGACAAAGCAGCCCGCTTGATTGGCACCACATCCACAAACTCAGTAGCAGCAGTGTGTCTACAAGATGCACTGCAGAAATTCACCAAAGGTCCTTAGACAGCATCTTCCAAGTCCATGACCACTTCCATCTAGAAGGACAAGGGGAGCAGATAGGAACATTACCAGCTGCAAGTTCCTCTCCAAGCCACTCACCATTCTGACTTGAAAATATATCATTGTTCCTTCATTGTTGCTGGGGAAAAATCCTGTAATTCCCTCCCTCATGTGGGTTGACCTACAGCACATGGACTGTAGCAATTCAAGAAGGCATCACTTTCTCAAGAGCAACTAGGGATAGGGAATAAATTCTGGTCCAGCGAGCGATGCCCACATCCCATGAGTGAATTAAAATAAGATACTGTCGTGGTCATTATGCAACATTTAAAGAACTGCCACTTGGTTATGATCCTGGATTGTGGCTAATAATCACCACCAAAACTTTTAAACAAGCACCACGACAAAACTTAAGTGCTCTCTCTGTCAAATCCTGGGTGCAGACCCTCAGTACCATGGCTTGACTGTCCTCAGAGACTGTGTCTGGAAATATACAATTGTTTACCTCCTACTTGAGTCCAAGAGTTGCAATTATACAGGGCACTGGTGAGAC